GGGATAGCACACATCCTTGTCGCACGCCCTGTGTCACGAAGAACCAGTCCCATAGTTCTCCGTCGTCCATGCGCACCCGGGGCCGCATTCCATCGTGGAATTGGCGGATGACTTCGATCAGCTTCGCGGGAATCCCGGCCCTGGCCAGCACCTTCCATAGCATCTCTCGATCCACCGAATCATACGCCTTGTTCAAGTCGACGAAGCACATGTAGAGCGGTATTTTCTTTCTCCGCCCTAGCTCCTGGAGGCGGCGCACGACGAACAGCATGTCGACGGTGGATCGCCCGGGTCGAAATCCGCACTGTTCCTCCGGGAGGATGTTGTTGGCTTCGCAGAAGGCGCTTAGACGGTTGGTGATGATCTTGATGGGGACCTTGCCTACGTGAGATAGTAGCGAAATCCCCCTGTAGTTGTTACAGTTGGACCGGTCACCCTTCTTGTACAGCACCTTGATGGTTGTATCCTTCCACTCTCGCGGAATATCTCCTCCGTTCCACACCTTGACGAGGATGGTATGGAGGTGTCCCAGGACGAAGGGTTCGTCGTCATCGATCTTGAGCAACTCGGCAGGGAGGGAGTCATGGCCGGGTGCCTTCCAGTTCTTGAGGCCTTTCGTTGCCCGTGCCACCTCCTCGAGTTCTGGCACATCTCCCAACCGTTGAGTGTCACGTGTCGCTGGCCGCTGCGTCACTCGTTCGATAATGTGTGGGCTCAGGGTGGGAAATTTGGTGTTGAGTAGGGTGCTGAAGAATCTCGCCCACCGCTGGAGGATGTCGTCCCTGTTCCGGAGCAACACGCCGTTCTCATCCGCGACGAACTGCTGTCCCCCCGCTTGTCTCCCGCTGAGGCCCACTGATCTCTTGAGGTGTTGGTACAGTCCTCGCATGTCGCGATCTTTGTAGATTTCTTCGAGTTCAGTCACATATCCGTCCACGTGGGCATAAATGCCCGTTTCGACTGCTGTAGCCACTCCCTTACACGCAGCTTTGAGAACCCTCCACGTCGCTGAGTTCCAGTTGCCCCTCATCGCCCGGCGCGCTTCCCGACGTTTGGTAAGGGCCTGCTCCAGCGCTGCTCGCGTCTCTGGGGTCTCACACCACTCCTGCATGCGGCGTCTCCGCGGTTCCTTCCTCAAGGTCGTCCGCGCTGCGTCGAGGAGAGCATTGGTAAAGTCGGTCACCAATTCCGCGGCGGTGGTTGTTCGCTCGTCCAGTCGTGTGTCGAGCGATTAGTCACCGCACACCGTGCTGCTTCGAACTGCAATTCCCATCGGTTGAATTGCTTCTGTTTCGGTTTAGTCCGGACTGCACGATTGTGGGCAAGCCTGCCACCGAGGTTGACGGCGGCTGCTACCATGTTGTGGTCTGAGTCTGCTTTGACTGGGCGAACCGGCTGGGGGATGACGACCACGTTAGATACTCGGCCGTGATGTGCCTGCCTTGTCAGGATGGAGTCAAGGCGCTTGCAATCGTTTCCCGACACACCAGCCGTTGTATGTGTGCCATATTCCGCCCGTACGTGTCTAAAAGAACGTGTTCGTGAGAGTTAGCCTGTTTTCTGTTGCGAAGTTCAACAGTAGCATGCCATTGTCATTGAGCTCATCACGCCCGTACATTCCTACTACCCTTCCGTCCCCTCCGTCCAACCTATCTCCCGTCCGCGCGTTGGCGTCCAGTAGGACATACACACATTCGTTGGAAGGGATCCTCCGCACCCGAGACTGTCAAGTTTTCCCCAGAACACGCGCTTGCTGTCGGCGGTTGAAGGTTCGGTTGGAGCATACGCGGCTACGAAGTTGACCGCTCCACGGTGGCCTGCCAACAGAAACTCATGGCCATAAGGCGGTCGTAGCTAAACTCCGTAGTGAACGTGGATGTCTTGCACAGTGACTCTTTGACGGCTATCCCCTCATCATGGACTCCACCAGTCTCCGTGCCACAGCAGAACACCCGGAAACCCGCTGCTGCAAATTCCGTTCGACCTGCCCTCCGTGTCTCCTGCATTCCTACCACAGCTTCCTTTCTTACCCTCGCTGCCTCGGCAAGGTTTTGCGTAGGCATGACCCATAGCGAGGGGGGGGGTCTTTCTAGCAAGCAGGGCTAGACTCACCCTCAGGGGACCGATACCTTCTTGCTGCGGCGCACCCGCCGCGAGGCGTGCGTAGTGGTGGAGTTGGGTCGGCACTGGTGCGTCAGGTACAAAGGTGCAGATGCGGTGCGGGCCTCCAGGCCGTCGGTGGAGGCAGCAATGCCCATCTCATCTTTGTGCGCGGAGGCAGACGNTTTCCCCAGAACACGCGCTTGCTGTCGGCGGTTGAAGGTTCGGTTGGAGCATACGCGGCTACGAAGTTGACCGCTCCACGGTGGCCTGCCAACAGAAACTCATGGCCATAAGGCGGTCGTAGCTAAACTCCGTAGTGAACGTGGATGTCTTGCACAGTGACTCTTTGACGGCTATCCCCTCATCATGGACTCCACCAGTCTCCGTGCCACAGCAGAACACCCGGAAACCCGCTGCTGCAAATTCCGTTCGACCTGCCCTCCGTGTCTCCTGCATTCCTACCACAGCTTCCTTTCTTACCCTCGCTGCCTCGGCAAGGTTTTGCGTAGGCATGACCCATAGCGAGGGGGGGGGTCTTTCTAGCAAGCAGGGCTAGACTCACCCTCAGGGGACCGATACCTTCTTGCTGCGGCGCACCCGCCGCGAGGCGTGCGTAGTGGTGGAGTTGGGTCGGCACTGGTGCGTCAGGTACAAAGGTGCAGATGATGTGCGGGCCTCCAGGCCGTCGGTGGAGGCAGCAATGCCCATCTCATCTTTGTGCGCGGAGGCAGACGTCATCAGAAAGGTGGACGGGCACTATGTACACGGCCCTAGGTTTGCTAGGGGGAGCTGTACGATCTCAGTAACCTGTGGTTTTGCCATCAAAGGAGGAGGGGACAGGTGGTGACGAGCTGATTGGGCAGGTTGACCCTTCGGCGCGAGAATCTTCAGACCAAGAACCCTAAGTGCAACGAGGGAGAAAGCGAGGAACCGACTGGGAAGGACAGCAACGGGAGCGTGTACGAAGCGGAGGGGGTCGAGTTTGTTCGTGCTAGGACTGGCCACAGCGGCAACGGAGCAGCGGCACCGGAGCAGCGGAACCGGAGCAGGCGGACGGCATCGAACCGTGGCGCACGGACAAACATCTCTTGTATTGTCAAATAATTTTCCGTTTTTTTTCCTGAATACAGGTGTTGTGTGTGTTTGTTTTTTGTTTGTTCTTCTCCCATCATTGGACTCTGTCGTCTGCCCCTCTGGCCCCTATCCTCCACTTCTACTAGCTGGACGACCCAACCGGGGTCACATAGGAGGGGGGGGTTGGACCCCCTCCTGCGGTTCATGCCTGAGGTATTTTTATCGCGAGAAGGGTACAGCAATCCCTTCCCTCGCGACTTACGAAGTCGATTATGGTTTACTAACAAACGAGCTCTGCAGCGCGTCGCTTTCATCCTAGACCAGGATTTATTCAGTGAGAAAGAAAACTCTCTCTGTCGGGGCTCGAACCCATGACCTGGCCCTTAGAAGGCTGCGAGGCTACCCACTAGACCACCGGGGCGACCGTGTGTGATGACGTCACTGGTTTTGTAGAGAGACGCGGCAGAGATGGCGCGGATAACCCGGGTGCCTTTTTTGTGTACCTGCATCGTGGAAACCCCTTCAATGTGGAACGATTCCTAGTCAGTGTCGATGTTTTCACTGCTGTGCCGATGATCTGGATAGATTCGGGTGATTGTCAATTGCAATGATGGCTGTGGTTGGGCGTTCTTCTTCATTGTATGTCCACGGGCTCATTCTGATAGCACTTCAGACAGCAGCTCCATGCCCCGAGCTTGTATACTATGCACCATGGTGTTATTATTGTACAGCCAGCACTTCAGACAGCAGTACGCTGTAGTCGACAAACATTTATTTTGGTTAAATGCGGGACAAGGGGGGTGATGCTGCTGCTGTACTGTAGCCGATTTGTAGTGTGTGGGCGTGTAGTTCAGTTGTGAGCACGCAAACGTGCTGCAGGGATTGCAGGTGTATCTCCTCGGGCTTGCGTACCCTTTCCTTGCTAATAGTGTGTGTGTTCTTTAGATCTTCTGATGGCTCTAGCATTTTTGTGACCGCGGACCGAGTCTTCGCTAGATTTTGGGATTAGCAACTGACACGAGTTTAATGTGAACAAAAACAACAACAACAACAACCACCGATACGTCTTGTCTCGCTGCCTCGTGTAGAACGCTGTAAGCTCGCCCGTATCCATTGGCCCCGTTTATAGCCAAAGTCCGCACATTCCCGGTTGCTACCCTAAGAAATTAACCCTGCTGTCTCTTTCGCGCTGCGCGCGCTGCTCTCTTAGCTAGCCTACGCGCCGCCCGACCCCTCCTTTTCCCCCATCTTCCCCGCTCTATTTGTTTTGTTACTATTTCTTGCGAACACTCGGGCTAACGTGATAGTTACCCCGGTTCTTGCCTTGTTTCCCATAGAGTTGTCTTATTCTCCCGGAGCGATGTGGCCCTCCATCTCTGGACTCTCTCCTTTCCTCTCTCTGGGGCGTACCCCCACGGCGTGCGGTCACTCCGCCACCCTAACCGTGCTCTCTGCTGCTGCATAGCCCCGGTGTCCAAGCCGGGGCGTCAGGATCCAGTCTCATTTTGCAGCTACCAAAGCTGGCGGCTCAGGAGCTACCCCGATCTCACGACAGCAGTAACTCCCAACCGCCAAACTCAGGATCCCCCTCTAAACAGTGCTAGGGACCGTACATCCGTCTTTGCTGGGTGGTCTTTCGAGGCCTAGATCCGCTTGCGGAACCTCGGCCTACCCCAGGGACGGAGGGGGCAGGCCGGGGAGGATTGTGGCCAAAATTGAGTTACTGCTGTGTTACGTGTTTTTCTATTGTTGTCGTGGAAGGTGAGCCTTTGTTTCTTCAAAACAAAGTTCTCCGAGCAATCAAATACTCTCTGTCCTCCGGCTGTCGCATAACATAAAAATTTGTTCATGTGCGTCTCTGAGTAATTGGATACTATTTCTACTAATAGACTAATCCGAGGAAGTATTAGATTTACTTGAGGGTATGCAGGTGCCCTCTGCTGGATACTCACCTCGTCTAATCCGTCAAGGTCGCTCACGGGCAAGCAAACGCACCCAAACCTCTTGAGCGACGACTCGATCTGCTCGACTGTTGTGGCGGTTTCTTCTTCTAGCTCTTGATCGAGCAGTGGCCGGAGACTGATAACAGGTGGGCACTCAGTCATGTTGTTCGATTGTGATCTGTTGCCAAATATAATAAGGTAAAATGTAAAATGGTCGGCAAGCGTAATGCTCCCGAAAACCTCCGAAACCCTATTCATGCCTACCTACCGCCCCGGTGGTCTAGTGGTATAAGCTTCCTGCAATTGGGCCGCCAAATTCCCAAAAGTGGCTGTGG